CCCCCCCCCCCTTTTATGTGTTTTTCTGCTAACTTCAAGTTTCATGGCAAGATGTGGTGTTGAGACAATGGCTCCTAGGGCGTTCAATGAAGTCCGACCGAGTAGTATATTGTAGGACGTGTTAGCATGTAACACAATGTACTTCACTTGAATGTCTCGATATTCTTTCTCATCGAAACAAAACCGAGTGAATAGCTTGATGTATCCCTTGGTACTGACTCTTTCTCCTGAAAAGTCGACAAGCGGTTCATTGTGGGGAACCAATTCCTCTTCGGGGATGCCAAGCTACTTGAAGATATTCCAGTATAGAATGTCGGGTGAACTGCCTTGATCTACCAAAGTCTTCTTAACTATGCAATTGTGTATTTCTACAATGATGACCATCGGGTCATCCTGGATGGGATCAATGCCTCGAAAATTAGCCTCGGTGAAGGTTATTGCTGGTAGTCTTCTGGAAGCTTGTCTATCGACTACATGTACTGATCGAACAACACGCAAATGTCTTTTTTGGGCAGATGAGGTCGTGCCTCCTCCTGCAAACCCTCCTACGATGGTGTTAATGAAATGCTTATGCGGTGTTTGGGGTTCTTCCTTCCTATCCCTTGATCTGCTACACTCGTGGCGATGCCTTTCAGAGCGCTCTTGTTTGTAATGGTCAGGTGTCGAGGCTGGTAACCAAACCAAGACCGAGATGTGGTTGGTTGATCAACAAAATTTTGGAGTTGTCCCTGCTTGATCAAGTCTTCAATTTTATCATTTAGAGTCGCGCATTCCTCGGTGGAGTGTCCACGATTGCGATGATACATGCAAGATTTGTTCGTATCAGCACGCGGGGGAGTTGATGCTCTCTTGGGGACTGCCAATACTTTCGATGTCAGGGCTTGCTCGAGCACCGCTGCTCGACTTTCATTTAGGGGAGTGTAGTGAGAGTATTTCGGACCACGTGCAGGTCATTCCCAAAGTGTTAACTCCTTGTTTCGACCTTGGAATGGTTGATCCATCGGCTTCTCTATCTTGCCAACGGGTTCAGCTTAGGCTTGGTTGTCAACCCTCATCCGCAGGTCATCCATGTCTATGGGGGGTTTCTTGCAAATGTTGTTGACAAAAGGCCCCAGTTTTAAGGCTGTGGTGAGGTGGTGAAGTGCTACAGCTAGGTTGAGGTTCTTTATTTCTAGTGCTGCCTTGTTGAACCGATCCATGAAGGCTTGAAGTGACTCTTTCTTATCTTGTTGAATGCTGACCAATGACAGGGAAGTCAGTTGGTGTGGCCGGCTGGTGGAAAACTGGATGGTGAATAGTGATGATAAAGTACTAAAGGAGTCAATCGAGTTAACCAAAAGCCAAGTGAACCAACTTAGGGCCTGTCCTTTTAAGGATGTCAGAAAAATCTGACATAAGGCAGCATCATCAGTGGTACTCAGGGTTACTTGCATGAGAAACACGTCAATATGTTCATCGAGGTCCATTGTACCATCGTACTTATCTATCAGTAGAGCCTTCCAATGGTCTAGCAAAGGCGATTGCATGATGGACGAGGTGAAAGGGTGTCGATGTACGCTAACCGATTGAACACTGGTTGACCGACTGATTGTTGGGATTTTCTCTGGTGTGATGGTCGAAGCGCGAGGAGCCGAGGTGTGGATCTCCAGGGATTTGGAAGATCCTTGTGTCTATGTAGGGGTTGGTTGAGAGGGCTTCCATGAGGGGTCTTGACTCTTCAAGGCAGCATTCTCAGCTTTCAAGGCTGAAAGTTCCCTAACATCTTTTTCTCTTTGGTGTCTCATGGCGGCCATCTCTTCCTTCAGCTGACAAATGGTCTCTAAAAGGTTCGTTTCGTCAACGACTTCCACATGTTCCTCTTCTCCCTCGGATCAGTGGTCTTCTATGTTCGTTATATATATATATATATATATATATATATATATATTTTCTATGTATCTAAATACTTCTGTTTATATTAAAAAAATTATATATTTAAATATTTTCTCAGTATCGAATATACTAATTTTTTATATAAAAAATTATCTTATATTTCTATATTTCCATTTTTACATGTTTTTTATAATGGCCAAGGTATATTTGATCCTTCATCTTCAACATTACCTGTTAATGAAGATCATATTTTTGAGATTATTATTCAAACTCATGAGCAAGAGCGAGAAGACGCTAATGCTTAGAGGACTAGTATAACTATGAATATGTGGGTGAATGTTATTTTAGAGGATATGATATTATAAAGAATAATAATTATTATTATTTTTATTGTTATTTATTTAGACATTGTTGTTTTTTTATTATTTTTATCTTTGACTCTTTTTAAATTTGAATTTATGAAAAAAAAATTGAAATTTTATCATATGTCAAAAATTCACGAAAATTCTACAAAATCCACAAAGTCCCGTAAAATTCATTAAAATCCTGATTTAAAATTCTTACAGAATTCATTAAAATCCCAATTTAAAGTCTTGCATAATCCTTCAAAATCTTAAAAGTCATGAAAATCCTACAAATTCTTTTAAAATCCGCATGATTTTTTTTAAACCAAAAAAGTCCTTTAAAATTCTAGTCCAATACATCCCCTTAATTAGTGTATAAAATTTTAGAGAAATTTTAATGTATTCTTATATATTTAAAAGATTTTGAAATTATGTTTTTACAATACATGAACAGTTTGGTTTTAAAATTGTTTGATTTTTAGGATGTTTATCTTTTTCTTTTTAATACGTATATATTTTTTTTAAAATTCTTAATTAATATATATGTATATATATATAACATTTAGTTTTAGCAAGGATATTTTTGATATCCTATGAACTATGACGAATTAAGATTCTTCATACTTGTGTACAAATTATAAAGAGCAAGTTGAATAGAAAATTCATAAAATTTTTATCTACTTTAAACAAATAGTTTTTTATTGTATTTTTTTTAAAATTATTTTAATTTTTTATAAAATGATTCAAAACAGATGGATTGATATTTGATGAGAAGAAAGAGTTACTTAAATTATCTATTTATCAATAACACATTGTTTGTTGTAGAGGAAAAAATGAAAGTAAAAAAATAATCTATACATATTTTACGTTATTTTTATTAATTTAAAAAATTAATTATACTAAAATACTCTAATTTACAAGAGTACTAGTAACTCCAAGTAAAACTTGTTAAATAAGATAATGACTTTCACATAAATTTCAAAGTAGATCCTTTATTGTCTCCTAAAGCCATCAAAATTAAAAGAAGGACAAGGTGAATGGAGAGACGAAGGTAGATAATGGAAATTAAAATGAAGATAAAGTAGAGATAGATAGACATTTTGTTTGATTTTACATCTTAATGAAATGCGATTATAAGAAGTCAATAGTTATAACTTTAGTATCCAAAACGTGATTTTTATTTCTCAATGTGTTTCCAAACACGCAAAAAGCAGAATGTAGAAGATTTCAAAGTTGTGTGATTTTTAATAAATTTTAACTAATAATATAAAAAATATACTTAAAAAATTTGTTGCTAGCATTTTTCTTGATTATGTCAATTTTCATAATATTTTTAAAGAGAGAAGATAATCATTTTAGTTCCTAAAAGTAGTGAGTATTTTAAAAATATATCAAATAATCTTTAAAATATCAACTAATAAGTCTCTAAATTTAACTATTTATTATTATTTTAATCTCTAAACATATATTAACATTCTAACTTTAATTATATAACTTTTTTAAAAAATATTTAGAATAATGTAATTGTCAATTTACATAAAACTTATTTGATATTTTTATAGTTTTAGAAATTAATATAACATTGGCTTATAAATTTAGTGACCAAATTATTAACTTTCTGAAAAATGAAATGGTAGCTGTCAATGTTTACCTGGGCAATGACTGTGACTTTTAGAGTGGAAGTCCCAAATGGCAATACACTACTACTCGCAAGAGAGAGGTGGAGATTTTGAAGCAAGGCCATAATTTTGAGCACAATATCCTTTTGTTTGTGGCAGTGGATTCCAATGAGAACTTCCTTTTCCAACACCATAGCTTCAACCTGAGGTAGGGGTGCTGTGGTTCTATAGCCACCATAAGAGTTAATGGTCTCACGTGGCATGGCTTCCTCTTTTGGGCAGATTTGTGATTTCTTGATGAATATTCTGGAATCTGATGTTCTCCTCTTGTTCTGATCATTCTCTAGCTCTTTTACTCTCTCTTGAAGTTGTTTCATGTAAATCATTGCTTCTCCAAGTATATAGGCCTTCTCTGTCTGCATATTTACATGACAAGAGACCCTTTAATTAATTCATGGTTTATAAAGTCATGTAATACTCATCTGTGTGTTATGTTATGCAAACTTGAGATGATTACATGAAACCATGAGTCGGTATACCAAAAGTGTGTGATTAATAAACTAAGGCTAGACATTAATCCAATGAAAAATGTTTTTCTTATTTATTTATTTAATAAAGAGGTACGATTCTCTTTCATCAAAATGACTCTTATAAAGATAATGTAGTATTTTCAGTCGTAACTTCCGTAACTTCATGTTTAAACTGAAAATTGAATCATTGTTCTTAATTAAAAAGAACACGCGTCAAAATATTTAAATTAATAATTTTTATCATCAAAATTATGTTTGACTAATGAGTTACTTGATTTATGATGGAATTTCCTAAAAATATATAGTATGAATGTTTGGTTTGTGACAATAATGAGTTACTTGATTTTATGACGCAGTTTTCTAAAAATATATAGCATCCGAGTCTGGCTTGTCACAATTAGAACTTACAAATTTTAGCTATTACATGCCTTTCATGTATTTGATGCAATTTTGTGAACGGTTTAACTGTACTTTTTACTATTTATATTTTATGATTTTGTAAATTTCACTGCTTTTTTAATTTTTACATTGTGTCATCAATTTTATAAGAATTTGTAGATTTTGTTATTTTATTAGTTAATTATTTAGTGTTGTTAATTGACTAGTAACATGAAATTGTACGGGTTAGGTCACTCGACCATGTCCCTCGGCACATCTTTCGGCACATGCACCGAATGGCTCACACCGCCTGCTCGTCCCCCCCATCCGCATCGACTCGGCCGATGGCCGACGTGACGATATTAGGTCAGCGTGGCCAAAAGGCGATTTAGATCCAGTTGACATATGACTCGTCTCGGCTCACCAGAGTGCTTCTAGTTCCCGAGACCCATTCGACATTGACGATTGCCAAAAGGACCTAAAGAGCAATTTAGGGACCAGATAATCATCTTCAGTTAAGTGATTAAGGGATAATTGTGTGTACATACCAATTAACGGTGTATTACCTAATTTAGTAATCCTAGTACAAAGCCCAAGGAAGACAGGGTCCATTAATGTCAGTATAAATAGTTCACATCTCAAGGTAACGTCACTATTCATTAATTACTATCAATATTTGTGCTTGTCCTGACTTGAGCGTCAGAGTGCCTTTTATAGGTACCCTCCCCTCACCGGATATTCGCTTGGAGCTCTCGTTCGGCCTTCAAACTACCAGAAAATTACTAGTGTACCATTCAGACAGGTACATTTTGGCGCCCACCGTAGGGCCCAAACCGAGAGTTTTGTGAAGACAAGTTGACTAAGCTATAGCAATGGAAAAGATAAGGAAGACGAACATAGAAGACCACTGATCCGAGGGAGAAGAGGAACATGTGGAAGTCGTTGACGAAACGAACCTTTTAGAGACCATTTGTCAGCTGAAGGAAGAGATGGCCGCCATGAGACACCAAAGAGAAAAAGATGTTAGGGAACTTTCAGCCTTGAAAGCTGAGAATGCTGCCTTGAAGAGTCAAGACCCCTCATGGAAGCCCTCTCAACCAACCCCTACATAGACACAAGGATCTTCCAAATCCCTGGAGATCCACACCTCGGCTCCTCGCGCTTCGACCATCACACCAGAGAAAATCCCAACAATCAGTCGGTCAACCAGTGTTCAATCGGTTAGCGTACATCGACACCCTTTCACCTCGTCCATCATGCAATCGCCTTTGCTAGACCATTGGAAGGCTCTACTGATAGATAAGTACGATGGTACAATGGACCTCGATGAACATATTGACGTGTTTCTCATGCAAGTAACCCTGAGTACCACTGATGATGCTGCCTTATGTCAGATTTTTCTGACATCCTTAAAAGGACAGGCCCTAAGTTGGTTCACTTGGCTTTTGGTTAACTCGATTGACTCCTTTAGTACTTTATCATCACTATTCACCATCCAGTTTTCCACCAGCCGGCCACACCAACTGACTTCCCTGTCATTGGTCAGCATTCAACAAGATAAGAAAGAGTCACTTCAAGCCTTCATGGATCGGTTCAACAAGGCAGCACTAGAAATAAAGAACCTCAACCTAGCTGTAGCACTTCACCACCTCACCACAGCCTTAAAACTGGGGCCTTTTGTCAACAACATTTGCAAGAAACCCCCCATAGACATGGATGACCTGCGGATGAGGGTTGACAACCAAGCCTAAGCTGAACCCGTTGGCAAGATAGAGAAGCCGATGGATCAACCATTCCAAGGTCGAAACAAGGAGTTAACACTTTGGGAATGACCTGCACGTGGTCCGAAATACTCTCACTACACTCCCCTAAATGAAAGTCGAGCAGCGGTGCTCGAGCAAGCCCTGACATCGAAAGTATTGGCAGTCCCCAAGAGAGCATCAACTCCCCCGCGTGCTGATACGAACAAATCTTGCATGTATCATCGCAATCGTGGACACTCCACCGAGGAATGCGCGACTCTAAATGATAAAATTGAAGACTTGATCAAGCAGGGACAACTCCAAAATTTTGTTGATCAACCAACCACATCTCGGTCTTGGTTTGGTTACCAGCCTCGACACCTGACCATTACAAACAAGAGCGCTCTGAAAGGCATCGCCACGAGTGTAGCAGATCAAGGGATAGGAAGGAAGAACCCCAAACACCGCATAAGCATTTCATTAACACCATCGTAGGAGGGTTTGCAGGAGGAGGCACGACCTCATCTGCCCAAAAAAGACATTTGCGTGTTGTTCGATCAGTACATGTAGTCGATAGACAAGCTTCCAGAAGACTACCAGCAATAACCTTCACCGAGGCTAATTTTCGAGGCATTGATCCCATCCAGGATGACCCGATGGTCATCATTGTAGAAATACACAATTGCATAGTTAAGAAGACTTTGGTAGATCAAGGCAGTTCACCCGACATTCTATACTGGAATATCTTCAAGTAGCTTGGCATCCCCGAAGAGGAATTGGTTCCCCACAATGAACCGCTTGTCGACTTTTCAGGAGAAAGAGTCAGTACCAAGGGATACATCAAGCTATTCACTCGGTTTTGTTTCGATGAGAAAGAATATCGAGACATTCAAGTGAAGTACATTGTGTTACATGCTAACACGTCCTACAATATACTACTCGGTCGGACTTCATTGAACGCCCTAGGAGCCATTGTCTCAACACCACATCTTGCCATGAAACTTGAAGTTAGCAGAAAAACACATAAAAGGGGGGGGGGGTTGATTATGTTTGTGTGTGTGAACAAAGGTATTTTTGAAATCATTTTCACAAGAGTAATACTCTTTGTCCACTGCACTTTCAAATATCAGACGATGATGCAGAGTTTTCTTAATACAAGGATATTTCTTTTGAAAGATTTACCGTCTGCTGGAAAAATGGTTTATCATAATAATTATCGTTAAAAATGACTTTTTAGTTTAACATACTCATTGAGAAAAATTTACGTCTTCGTCTGAAAACTGGTTTTGATTAAGAATAGTAAACAAAGTTTTTCAACATTATTTGTTAATTAAGAGAAAATTGTAGCGGAATGGCCTGATGTGATTTATGTTAATGATTTCAATTAACAGGACAAGGCTTTTGTTCTTCTTCATCTTGTGTGACAATTTTTGATATTTTTGTATTAGAATTGAAAAGGATTATTGTACATTACCCTTGAGATTTCAAATAAATATGAAATTCTATGATATGAGCGCCATCTTCATGAAAAAACACTAAATTCAATGCTCAGTTTTTGTGACATCATTGATAGCAGTATAATGATGTAGCAGCTATGCAGAATTGGAAAAATCTGATAGAGAGAAGGTATACTAATACTTGAGGTAAAAAAAATAGAAAAAGAAATCAATAAAGGTTCAACCTTGAAGATTAACATTACAATGCATCAAATATAAAAAAAAAAAATTCAATAACTATTATAAATAAATAGAGAGAAATCTATGTTATAGGTCCCTCAAATTTCAGTCAAAATTGGTCTTAGTCCTATACTTTTAAAAATAATGACTTTGATCCTTATATTTATTATAATTAGTAAATTTAGGAATTAAAACATAATTTATCTATAGAGAGAAAGTTACGCCAAGGTACATTCGACTCTACTTGCTCTATCTCTAATTTTGTTACTTCATGGGCTGAATATAACTTTTCTTCATGCTTGCACCATTTCGGGCCAAACAGCCAGCTCTTTAAGGTTTGATGTTGAGGCTTATATAGTCTTGTGAAATCTGCCCGTTGCAATTATCCATTGAAGCACATATAGTCGTTTATGACTAGTTTGATCTTCTCATTTAATGCTTAGATTCTTGCATTAAATGTTGTTTCTTGTTCATAGACAATGCGTGAAGTTTCCTTGCTCTATTAGTAGCTGTGTCTGAATATAGCAGAGTCCTAGGAAACTTTTGTCCTTTTCTAATCCTATAGTTGTGGAACCTTTGTCCTTGCTTGAAAAAGTGATGTACTTTTTCTAACATATGCATGCTTTAGCATTTGAGCATGCTCTTCTTCTTTATTCTTCTCTTCTAATAATTCGAATGACTTCTTTTGTTCTTCTATGAGTGTAGACGATATTCAAATTGTCTTTTGAAGCTTGATTTCTCAGGTGATTGCGTGTCATTCTTCGTCTGCATCTAGTAGTCGGCATTTAGTTTAATACTTTGAACTTTGTCTGATCATCAACGTTTTGACTTTTTCTTTCGTCTTGGTCAACCTTATATATTGTCAGACTTTCCATTTCTTCTAGAGTTTCTTCTTGGTCGTTGACCATCTTCCGTTTGAGTCTTTATGTGCTACCTTAGATTGTGCTTGGCATGGTCTTGTTCTTGGTTTGGCTTGTTGAGTGCTTATGTTGGCCTTTCATTTTGTATTGTCTAATGCTTATGCCTCTTCATCATTTTACCTATTCTTATGTCTTTCTAAAACACTAACTCACATGTTAGAGATAACATCTATTATATTTGTCTCACTCAAAACCTTTTTAGGAATCTCTTCATCTGACAACAAAATTTCTATCTAACGCTGGAAACATCCTCACAATACACGCCGACCAAAAGGCAGCTCGGGAATCGGTTTTTATCATTTTTAACAAGGTAGATGAAGGAATTAGGACTTGGTGTCTTCTTGAGAGTTGTAGGAAATCTTCTTATATTTCATATGAGATAAGGATGAGCATGGTAGGAGTAGTATAGCTCCCGATACGCTGTTTTAGGTGAAGGTTGCCATTTCACATTTAGTGATTTGGTTAAGTGAAAGTTGTTTTAGGCGATTAGGTTGATTGGTGTTGTTTGGGTGGGTAATTTGACAAGATAGATGAGTTGTAAATAATGTGGATGAGCCGTATTATGTGTTGAATATGTTGTATGTTGTATAAGCTGTTAATGATGAATGTTGTTGAACTGTATCAGTTGTATACTGTTGTAAGTTGATTATGTTGAGCTGTATCATTTGTATACTGTTGTGAGTTGATATGTTGAGCTGTATCATTTGTATACTGTTGTGAGTTGATATGTTGAGCTGTATCAGTTGTATACTGTTGTGAGTTGATATGTTGAGCTGTATCAGTTGTATACTGTTGTGAGTTGATATGTTGAGTTGTATCAGTTGTAGACTGTTGTGAGTATATATATATATATATCATAGGTACAAATTAATAGCATATCTATGTATGTCAAATAAATGAATATATGCTAATAGTTAAATATTAGTCTTATATATAATATATAAGACTATCAGCAATATTGACTTTTGTACTTTTATCTTCTTCGTTAAGCATATGCTAGAGATTTTGCTTTCCCATTAATATAGTCAAAGAAGAATTCTAGTAGAGCTATAGCAATTTCATGAAACATATAAATTTGGTAGAAATTTCCCATTAATGCTCAATGCTAAAAGGCAGTGTACTGTTTCACCTACAATCAATCATTGGTATTCCTTGACTTGAAAGATTACTTATGCATATAGATATAGACAAGAGAAATATTAAAATTATGTTATACTCTTGATTCTTCGTATGGAAACAAAAACTAAAATATTTTTTAACATAAACAAAATGCATTCATGACTCAGAATAATTAATAAAATATTGACTTTTGTACCTTTATCTTCTTCGTTAAGCACATGTCCTATGATTATTTATACAATACCTTTTGCACATTATCCTTGGTCCTTGACAGGAGTCACAACACCTCTTTTCCTCCAGTCCATGATAGTAGGATTACTAATGACATTGTTATATCTTTGAAATTATTTTATATTTCATTTTCATTATTTTCGTGTTAGCTCTCTTATATTAGTTTCACAGGGTGTAGATTGAGAAGAAATGGATGCTAGCATAGTTAATACCGGAATTACTTCGAGAAAATGTAAAAGAGAAGAGTTTAAGGAGATAATCATATTTGTTGTTGTTTGCGTGATTTATATGCTTATGGGTGTAGTAGCATGGTATCATAATAATTATTTTGTTAAGGAACCAGCTCATAATTGGGGATTGGAGCGGCGTAGTTTCCTTAATCGTCTTTATAGAAGGGCAGAAAAAGATTGCATTGAACAGTTAAGGCTTAATAAGAGTGCATTTTTTCAAGCTTTGTAGAATTTTGCAAGAAAGAGGGGGGTTAGTGAGAACAAGAAATGTTCCAATAACTGAAGTGGTGGCAATGGTTTTACATATCCTTGCTCACAACCTAAAGTACAGAGTAGTGCACTTTAGTTACTGTAGATCTAAACAAACAATAAGCCAACAATTTAATAATGTCTTAAGAGCTGTAATGAAAGTGAGCCAGGATTATTTGAAGTTTCATACCTATCTAGAAGGTCCGGGTGAAAATAAATGGAGATGGTTTGAGGTAAGTTTATCAATTGTAAGGCTAGTCAAACTTACAATAAACCTTTTTGAAAAACTAAATATATAAATACACTTGTGTTGTTTGTAGAAATGTGTTGGAGCACTTGATGGGACACATATTCCGGTAACAGTTTCTCTTGAAGATAGACCTAAATATCGTAATAGAAAGGGTGATGTCTCTACAAATGTGTTAGCAGCCTGTGGTCCAGATTTAAGGTTTATTTATGTGTTACCTGGGTGGGAAGGGTCAGCAGGAGATTCTCGAGTATTACGAGATGCTTTACGTCGTCAAAATAAACTTGAAATTCCAGCTGGTAATATCATGTACATAGTATTTTATTTAATTTTATCTAGTTCTAAGTTGTAATTTTCATTTTTAAAAATTGTAGGTAAGTACTTTCTTATGGATGCGGGATATACTAATGGTCCAGGATTCTTAGCACCATATTGAGGGACTAGATATCATCTGAATGAGTGGATTGGAAACACCCCTCAAAATTTCAAGGAGTTATTTAATCTTCGTCATTCAAGTGCACGAAATGCAATAGAAAGGTCTTTTGGAATACTGAAAAAAAGATGGAATATATTAAGAACTCCTTCATTTTTTGATATAAAGACACAAATAAGAATTATTAATGCTTGTTTTTTGTTACACAATTTTATAAGAGATGAGCAACAAATTGATTAACTTTTAGAGGTTCAAGACTTGGAGCTCTTATCTATTGTTGATGAAGAGCTAACCAGCCAACGAAGAGAAAGAGTTCAAAACAATGTCATAGACGAAGTTGCAACTATTCAAGTTACTGAGGAGTGGATAAGATTTCGAGATACATTAGCAATAAATATGTTTGCTAACTACCAAGTTAGAAGAAACATTACTTAGGGAGAGTTTTTTTTTAATGTAATTTTCTATTGAATAAAGACTTTTATGTACTTGATGGACTTTTTTGTACTTGATTGAAGAAAACTTTGCTTGAAATATTGTCTTTTGATAACTTCCATTTGTTTAAAAAAAAATATTTACATGATCTAGAATTATGAATTGGATTGATCAAGTTAATTTTGTGGGTTGTATGTGACATTTTTTATATGTAGGTTAATAGGTGATATTAACTTCAATGGAGTCATCCAAAGAGAACTTGAAGGGAAAGCGAAAGATGACAGAAAGAAATAATGAATAAACAAGAAGTTATTTCTCATAGAATTTGGAGATGGAGCTGCCATATTTTTTAGATGTATTATATATTTAGTCAGCGATTGGCATTCTAGCATAGCAATAATATACGATATTGCATTTGAACAAAACTTCTTTTGATAGAATGTAGGCATTTTCAGCTTTGTATTTTTTTACTAGAGATGTTTCTAAACTAGATTTTGTTACATTGTAGACATGTCACTTTCTGGTATGACTTCAGTGGGAAATGATATGCATAATTATATTGATTTTTCTATTATTGACTTGTTTCTTTTTGTTTTTAAGGCGCATAAAGAAGCAAGACAGTTTCGATTTAAGGTGATTGTAAACTGGGATGATATAGTGGACTTGTGTGCCAAAGATAGAGCCACTGGACATGGAGCTGAGACTGCTATGGATGCTGATGAGGTCATGAGCAGAGAGATAAATGAAGGGGAATTAAGTTTAGAGGGTGCTAGTGATACCATATATTTAGATGAACCTGGTTTTACTACACAAAGAAGGGGTCAATCTTCAGCTTCTACTAGTACACAATCTCAGAGGAGAAAGACAGGAGAAAAAGATGGAATAGCTAATTCGTTGAAAGAAGTGGCTGAATCTTTAAAGCGACTTGTTCAAGCATTTGATATTACGATTGATGAAGATGCTTTTATTCAAGAAGTGTTAGCTGAAGCAGCTTTGATACCAAACCTTAATCAACACCAATGGGCCAAAGCTGTTAAATGGTTATCTGACACTCCAAAACAGTTAGCTATTGTGAAAGCTCTTCCAATTGAGAAAAAGGCAGCTTATGTTTTAACACATATTTCTTGATGTAATTTTTTTTCATAACTTATTAATTTTAATTAATTTGATTGATTGTTGGAAGTTAACTTTCTAACTTTTTCATGTATTTTGTATGTTTCAGGTTTGGAGCTTTTATGCATTCCATGAATATTTGGATTTTATCATCAGGTCAATTACTTACTTGACTTGATTTCTGACCATTTTCTAAATCCAATCTGTAAACTAATCTAAACCATTATTTCATGTTTAAGTTTTGCACCACGTTCCATGTGGCTCTTCATTGTTTTTAGATTAAACTCATGCTTAACATATTATTGTAGTTTATCATATATTATATACTTGTGTAAATTTAAAGTGTGATAACAAAAAAAAAGTCTTGTTATTTGAGTTTTGATCCTTGGTCTTATTATTATTGTTATTTGTTTTTATTCTTTTGTAGGCTTTGCTTTTATGAGGAGGTGAAAATCTTTGGACTTGAAGTTGTGATCTTGATATCTTCGACAAACTATCTTTTATTTTTGTTATTTTAATATGGACATAAAATACATTTGAAATTTCATTAGTATTTGGTTTAAATTTGTATGAGATATTATGATTTTGAACCACCTATACTCAAAGTTAAAGATTCTTATTAATTTTTTCTTAGTTTAAAATGGACTTATTTCGTATCATGAATCAATGTGTATTAATTGTTTTATATATGTTAATGGTGTTTTGAAGTTTTTAAATATGTTGTGAATTTAAAATATTTTTTAAATTTATAAAGAAAAAATTGATTAAATATAATGTCTAATACTATTTTTGAATTAATTAAAATTTTCTAATATTAAAATTAATTTCCAATTATTAAATATATTTTAATAAAATTTAATATTAAAACTTTAACTTTTTAATAAATATTTAAAAATGAAATTTTACTTAGTAGAATTTGAAATACTTTATCCAAACAAGATAATTAAAATATAAGATATTGAAAAATGCTCTATCCAAACAAAATATTTGAAAAAGGAAGGGAATTCAATTGAGAGTAATTCAAATTCTAAGAATTTGAAATTCCTTGAATTTTAGAAATGATTTATCCAAACACAACATTAGTGTTTGGTTTAAATTTGTACGAGATATTGTGATTTTGAACCACCTATACTAAAAGTTAAAGATTCCTATTATTCTTTTCTTAGTTTAAAATGGACTCATTTCGTATCGGGAATCAATGTGTATTAATTGTTTTACTGAAGTTAATGGTATTTTGAAATTTTTAAATATGTTGTGAATTTAAATTATTTTTTAAAATTTATAAAAAAAAATTGATTAAATATAATTTCTAGTACTATTTTTTTTAAAAATGAAATTTTGCTAAGTAGAAATTGAAATACTCTACCCAAACAAGATAATTAAAATACAAGATATTGAAAAATGTTCTATCCAAACAAAATATTTGAAAAAGGAAGGGAATTCAATTGAGAGTAATTCAAATTCTAAGAATTTGAAATTCCTTGAATTTTGGAAATGAGTTATCCAAACACAATATTAGCATTTCAGGGTATTTTGCTTGGGAACTTTTACTCTATTTGACCTTGTATTAAGGATCATAGATTTTCATATTTTTGGTTTTAGTAGTGGGGGTGCAAGTAGTAGTTGTGTAGGAGAAGTTAAGCAATTGGGCCTTTCCTGCCCCTCATAGAAATATTGTAATAATAGCTGCTCAAAAATCTGATGGTGAGGACAGCTAGCACATAACCTCTTGAATCTTTATCAATACTCATATAAGCTCTCTCCCATGAGTTGCCTAATTCCATATATGTCTTTCCTAATTGCAATGGTCCTGGATGCAGGGAAGAATTTTTTGAGGATCGACACTTTCTTCAAGTCGTCCTAGCTTGTTATGGAACCCAGAGCCAAATAGTATAACCATTCCTTCTCAAGATCCTCTAAGGAGAAAGGGAATGCCTTCAAATAGATGTGATCTTTCAAGAACATTATGTGGTCTCATGGTGGAACAGACTATGTGGAACTCCTTGAGATACTTGTGTCCTACACGACCATGAAACTTAGGCAACAAATGTTGAGATGATGGAGATCATTGAGATGACTTGAAGACTCCTCAAGAAGTTTTAGTTTTGATGATGTTAATGTATAGATGGTGTTTGAGCCTATGCAAAAGGATATTGTATTGATTGTAATATATATAGGCTTATGTGTGTGTGTGTTTATGATTAATGATAATGAATGCTTAATTCAAGAACTAATCAAGTTTTTTTTAAGAAACCAAGAATTTGATTTTTTTTAGTATTTCCATGAGTAAACATAAAGTAATAGATTATCTTGAAAAAGGGTAATTTACTGCCAATTGTTTAAACATAGAAATATGACTTGATTCAAACAAGAGTTTTCAAGGTAACATTGTTAATGAATTACCTTTCAGGGTAATAGATTACCAAATCTGTTACTGGAAAAAGATATTCAAATGTCTTCTGTGTTAATAGATTACCAAATCTATTACGGGAAAAAGATATTCAACTGTCCCCTATGTTAATAGATTACCACATTTGTTACTGGAAAATGTTTTTCAAGTACTCTCTAAGGTAACAAATTACCAAAGTTGGTAATAGATTAAAAAATACTCCCTTACTTGAAATAAGGCTGAAGAATCAAAGTTTTTATCGTGTTAATTGATTACCACAAGAGATAATCGATTACCACATAGTGAAAGGAAATCCTGGATCTTAAAAATCTCAGGATAATCGATTACAATATCCCGTAATCAATTACCCTGGAGATATTTTTGTTTCTGTTTCATTTAAAAGAGCTGGTAACAGATTGCCACATCAGGTAATAAATTACTTCTGTTATTACTCTTTATAATTGAATCACGTCTTGCACTCTATAAAAATAAATCTTTTTTAAATTAAAAGAAGAATGTTTAAAACTCTTTGAAAATCTTCTGAAAGAAAAACATTTGAGAAAAAGATTACTTTCAGAAACAAGACTCAAGGCTTATCAAAGAATTTTTCTGAAATTTCAAGAAGTGCAAAGATAGAACATGAATTCTTGAAAGAAGAAATTCAATAAATGTATTCAAGAATGAAAGATCAATATCTATACAAATTAGGTGATATCTTTCTGATCTTTAAACTTGCATTTTCGTTTTGATTGGTGTATCTCTTGAGATAGGGTGTCTCAACAAGAGATTTTGAAATCTTGAGTAGGGTTTCTCAAGTAATTTCTATGGGGTACAAAAATTTTGTTTGTTTTCAATCTTGGGGTGTCAAGATTGATGTTTGTTTGAATTCTTGTAATATTGTGTGTGCAAGGTGTTTGTAAACAATATTATAGTGAATGATCTTTGATTTAGTGGGGTGCTAAATCAGGGAAAACTGGATGCAGGCCAAGTGGATAGCTGAACCAGTATAAATTTATGTGTTCTTTATCTTCTTATCCTTATCTTTAAAGAATCTTGCTAATTTCTTGTTTAAAGAATTTAAAGATTTCTAAGATATGAAATTTCAATTGCAGTACCAACTCTGATCTTTATTCTTCTAATTGAAATTTATTAAAAAAGAAGGTAATATAAAATCAACCTTGGTTACAAGTGATTGTTTCACTGCATTAACGTTGATATTCTGATATGTTTGTAATAAACCTTGTAATCTTTTGTTCTATGTTAATTCAAAATGAGTAAAGGTTTTATTTTAGATATCTTGATAGGTTTTTATCAAGAATTGCTCAAAAAGTGAGTCATCTTAGGATAGAATCTATTTAACTCCCCTTCTAGATTCTTGTAAACTAGGACTAACAACAAATGGATTAGTCCAGTTTTAAGCACAAAAGGAACACCCTCTTTAGGATATTGAATGAACAAACTTTCATATGTAAAATCAGGTGCAGCCATCTCCCTAAGTGTTCTATCTCAAGGTCCATTAGGTTGATCACCCATATTTTTAGTTTGAACCGAATCAACTTCATATGCAACACTTACACTATGACTATCAATCTCAAAAGATGGAACCATGTGTTCTCTAACTAATCTAAGGAATGTCCTGTCTATTTCAGGATCAAATGGATGCAAAATGCGTGGATTGTTCCTAGTCATGCACTACATGCAACTACTACGTGAACAGTAGGGGTAAAATTGGAATTTTCATGCAAACTGGGGAACCATCAAAACTAGTGAAAAGTTTGGAAAAATAGGGAAATAAAACTTCAAAGTTAGAAAAAAAAATAGTAAACAACCTTTTTTTGAAAATCTAAGCAGAGATTGCAAGCATAGTTGGCATAGTTGCATAAATCTCATTTTTCTACCCCAAAATCATATAAATTATGTCTAATTCTGATAACCGTAGCAAAAGTTATGGTTGTTTGAAAATTTTACAAAATTACTATTCACCACACTAATGAAACTCACTCGAAACAAAAAAATAACCAAATGTGGCTTATCCAACCCTCATTACATGTTGAAATAAGTGTGCAAACCAAAATTTATGCAAAAATTCGCAGTGCAACCATGTAAACTAAGACAGGCCAAGAGCTACGCAAAACTGACACTATTTACTAGCACATGAACATGGAACATTTCACACTCGCAACAGAGGAGTAGTAGGCCGAGAAAATAGAGTATGCACACACAAAACAGAGACACTCTAACATACACGAACATATACTACTACACGAACACAATACAATACAACACAACAGGATTATGAACCTTTGGTTGGAGCTTTTCTCCCCGACAACGACGCCAAATTTGATCGGTGATGTACAATCAAATGAAATGTGATTTTTATAGTACTAGGAAGTGACTCCTAGGTCGTCTCTCAAGTAGCAATAAGCCAATCAAAGGTTCTTGCAGTCAACCAAGCACACAAATGGGGGGGGGTTTCAGATTCAAACTAAAATGCGTGAACAGTAAGCAATGGAACAATGTATTCTCCAACTCAGTTACAACACCCATATCATTACTTCGCAAATTATCTTTCACTAATCTAAACCTTGGTTCAGTTTCTAGTAATCACTAAGCGTTATTACCATTGTCGAACGCATACAAATGAAGCATCAACATACATTCCTATCTTTATTCATTGGATTAAGCAAACCATGAGTAGAGCCATTCAATCCAGCTGAAAATGAAACCATTAAGCATGGAGACAAACCATAATAGGTTAACAAGGATTAGAACACAAAGACACAATAAAATGAATAGACCTCAATGGTGCATTAAACTGAGTTCGAGAGTAATATAATCAACCTTCCATGAAAATGGAGGATACATCAGAAAATAGAGAAGAGAGGAAAGGAGAAAGCAAATGAAGAAAATTACAATGGTTTTGTATCTTTAAAAGGATCTTTGAAGGGAGGATTTGTCATCACCAAAAAGGGGAAGTTTATTGATCAAGCTCAAGATGAAGATATTAAGTGTTTTGATGAATATAAATATATAGTATATAGCCTCTTGAAAGATAAGAGTGCAAATTGTAATTTGGAATTTGTTTTGCTTTGTTGCATGTATTTTTGCTTTGTTCTTAAACTTACGTAGCTTTAATTCTTCATTCAGATTTATGATTGATGATCATAATAAGGTTTAAAATGATTGAAAAGAAGATTGGTATGAAAATTTAAGATATTAAGTTTTCACTTAAAATAATCGATTATCTTTAGTAATAATTGATTATTTGTTTTGTTTTTTTAGTAACTTGAGAAACTTTGTTGTAATAATCGATTATTCAAAAAAATAACCGATTATTTCATAAATAACTTTATGAAATAATCAACCATCACTCAAAACAATCAATTAATATGTTCTTACTAGATTTCCAAATTTAAAAAAGAACAAAATAATCGTTTATTATTTAAAATAATCAATTATTTAAGTCAAAAAACTTTATATATTGGTTTTCATAATCAGATCTTCGTAAGAGATGAAATTTTGTGAAATTAAACTTGTGAGAGAACTTTGAGAAAAATTATTTTCTTGAAAAGAGGTTTGAAAACCTTTGTGGGAACCCCAAGTATGAATCAAAAGTGAATTTTTATTATCATCTACTTGAAGATATTGGATAAGAATTTTGGTTTGATTCACCTACTTTGATTTTTTCTATAATACAGGTGAAATTGTTCCTTAATCTTTTTAAGTATAGTAGATAGAATTCTTGAGTAGGTTTCTTAAGAAAGTAAGAAAGATAAAGTCTTATAATGGGTGCTATAAGCAAGTGTTTCTTGGGGTGTAAAAAATGATTTCTTTAATAGTGTAGGAGTGAATTGCATGTGGTAATGTGATTGTAAATCTTTTAACATTAAAGATTAGTGAAAAATCTCAATCGGGTTGATTGGGGACTAGATGTAGGTCACAAGTGGATGTTGCTAGACTAGGATAAATTTGTTGTACATTTTTCTCTATCCTTACACTTGTCTTTACATTCTTGCAATTATGATTATATGCTTAATGATGTGATATGTTTCATAAACATTGCATATAGAAATTAGAATCTGAATTTATATTAACATGTGATCTCAACATAACATCTTACATATAGTTGTGATTCAATATACTTCATTGGAAAACTTTAGAAAAGTTTTTCTCCAAGAAAATTTAGAAATAATTTTTGTAAAATCCAATCTAGCCCCTCTCGTAGATCAACCATCTTTTCTAACATTTTCAAATAAATTTCAACCAATAGAGAGTGTTTAAAAGAGTGTTAGAGAGTGTGTTGCTGACACACACACACATACATTCACACGCACAAAGGGAGCATATCCTATCAAAGCATGTCTTATTATGAAATATGAGATGAGTATATCATAAAATTTAGATAATAGATAAAAATAATTAATGGTTAAGATTAAAATTCAATTATAGACACTTCCAAACAAGGTTATTACTATTATCTATTCCACAACTATTAACATCACCACTCATTGCTGCAACTGCCATATTTGGTAGTTTGTTTCATTAATTTCAATTGACAAATAATTATAAAAGCATTTACGTTGATTTGAATCTATATAACAAAGTATCCTATGATTTTAAAACTTAATAAAAATTTGTAGTTTTGATCTATACATTAAAAAATTTTAATTTAATGATTAGATCAATGAAATTCAATATACACCATGAGTTATTAAATGGAGTAACTTTACCAAGAGTTACACATACACACATATATGAGGAATGATTCGTTTATTTCAAGAGTAAATCTTGGTAGACTTATCCAATTAAATAACTCATGTTCAACATCAAATTTCAATAATCAAACATTTATGTTAAAAGTTCTTAATGCATAAATCATATTCATAAATCTTTCAAAAATTTGAAAACTATTTGATATTTCGTTTCATTAGTTCAAATTGATGAATAATTATAAACATAAAAGTTATAAACTATTTGATACTTTGAGTGAAACGCTAAAAATACATTCTTTGACACTTTTAAACACATTTTCTCTAATTGGTTGAAATTTATTAAAAAATACAAAAATTAATAGGTTGAACATCTTATTTAATGACTCTCTTTTTATTTTGTAATTTTTTTAATAAATTTTAACTAATAAAAATGTGTGTGTGTGTGTTAAGAGGAGTGTGTTGTTAATACTCCTCATATATATTAGAGAGCCATATGTGAATACATGGTGGTAGGCCTGGGGATTGGGTGGTTTTGAATGAGTTTGGATCAAAAAATGGCAACCTATTGCAAAATGACCATAGCATTATTTACATCGACTCCTACCACATGGCGTATCAATTTTGGCAAGTACCAGATTTAACAAATTACAAGTTATACAGATTTGTACAAATAGGTTGGTGGCAGTTCGATTGGGATACAACATTGCATGAATGTTATGTGTAATCTGGTGTTACGCTACAAATAGTACATGCCTCTTTTGACAGCACTCATGGCTCCTCAATTATTTCTCATCTCCACTTTTCTCATGTACATTTTCTCAAACACATGGTGCTCTAACTCAAACCACCCACAATTTGGCCTCAAACACAAACCATGGCCCTCAAAACGCTCCTCGTGAAATGCGAAACGCTTGGACTCGGGTCTTGCACTCACTCTCTGACGCCACCATCGTGCGCCTCAGCAACGACGTCGTAAACACTCTTTTACAATGCTCTTTTAACAATAATATTATTTTTTTTAATTCCCTTTCAATTTAAGTTCATCTACAAAAGGACTAATTTTCCTCGTAATTAATTAGAGTTGTGCATACCTTAGTACATTACGAGGTTCAATATCATCACACACAAATCCTCATAATTTTATGTTATTGATATAGGAAGCCAAACTAAAATCTTTGCAAACCTCACTCTCCATAAACAATTCCTGAATATATTTGGCACTCTTAGGAACGTGACTCTTGAATGTCATGTGACTTCGTCAGGAGATCTTGCCTCAGGCTTTTTACTAGATCATTCACTGTCATGGAGTATTTGTCACCCATCTGCGCGCAACATAGCTAATTAAAATTTAGGGGAGTGTATTGGTTTAAGATTTTATAAGATTTTAAAAGATTTTTTATGAGTAAAAAAATCTATTAGTATTCAATCAGGATTTTATGTCATTTAAAAACAATATGGTGATATTTAATCTAGATTTTCAAGATTTTTTAAAGAGTCTATTAAAATTTATTGGTATTCATTTAAGATTTTTTACAACTTAAAAATAATTTATTGGTATTCAAAAATATAAGGATTTTAAATGATTGTTATATTAGAGAGATTTTGAAGGACTTTCTAGTATTATTAATAAATACCAAATTCATAAAACAATCTCATCCAAACCCATCAGATTTTGAAGGATTGTTTAAAGTGACTTTTGAAGTGCTTCAAGAATTTTCAAGTGAATTTTTCATCTTTTTTTTTCTCTATGTTTCTGTCTTCTCCATTTTTTCTTTGCTAATAATATTGTACTATTGTTCATTGCTTATACATAATACTGTAGTATTGTTCTTATTCCATTCCCCTATTTTGTGAAGCTCCGATATGTAAATGATAGTCCCATTGACTTGCTCTATTTTTCTCTTCGTTCTCTTTAATTGACTTGCTCTATTTTATAACACACGTCAAGAAAAGAAAAAGGTAAAAGATGAATTTGATATCATAATCTCTACAATATATATATATATATATATAT